CTGTCGGTAGACCATATCCCTCACAATTTAGCAACAGAATCCTGCAATATAATCTCGAGCTCGTTGGTCGCCAGAAGGTGTAAATACGTTGGGCATCAAGCTGTCTAATTCTACCTATCTATCGGCACCTTCCTCGGGGCGTCATAGCTGGCCGGATAGAAATCCTGGAGCCTCCTGATCTGTTCGGATTGGGGTATTCAACCACCGTATTTGGATCATGATGAAATGTGTGCGGACCTGTGATGAATAGGTGCGGAAGGGCGCACTGAGGCAAACCAATTGGTGATGAATCTGCGTCACTATCTCATGGATATCGCCCTTCGATAACACCTGTGCCTTGATGTCCTGTAGATCGCAGATCATTTTTTGCCACCACGTTGCGAAATTGTTAACGGATTTAATAACGAGCGCTATTTTCGCTTCCATATCCTCCAGCTCGAGACGTGCGTCCTGATATCTAACGGTGTACTTCTTACGATCTGTAACCAATTAGCGGTGCTTGAAGTGTTATGCCAGATACCGCTTACTCTGGGCAGCAGCGGGGATGACAACCGGAAGGTTATTGCGAACGCGAGGCAGAACACTTATTAAGTGACCTAAGACAGAGGCTTCAAATACCGCGAACATAGTCTTCGTGTCACCGTCGGATCTGTGCTCGAAATTCCAATGCGGCCGTCTCTCCTGTGCCCCCGCGGCTCGCTGCGCAGCCTGCGAATCTCGCTCGAGATGTCGAGGAACACACTCCGACTCCTAAGTCTGGAATGAGTCCTAGGCGATGCTACCCACTCAATCACAGTACGTACCGTTACTATTTGTCCACGGACATCACTGAATCGAGCCCGTGTTTTCTCGACGTCCTTCTGCATTCGTGAAACATCGGTCTCCATGCGCTTAATGAACTTGAGGATCTCAGTAGTAGGCATCTTCGTTTCGAGGGCATGACAAAGGTCAATGGCGTGTTCTGAAAATACGATGCCTTGATCGCCACAGTTGATGCTCATGTCAATGGCGTCAAAATAGCGATGGGCTTGCTTCTTCAAACGGGCTATCATGTCGCGTATAATAGAGTGGGAACCCCGGGAGAATCTAGCAATGAGAGATCTCAGTACTCGAGTAGATACTATGAGAATAAACGAACTCCGCGAGGCACCATGGTTCGAGTAACACGAAGGCGTCCATAGCTGAGTCCACTAACTCTTGGACACCAGCGGCGACGAGATGGGATGCATCCGATTTTAGCGAGGCTATTATATCCATGTGAGCAGCCTGAGTGTATGTTGAATTCAAATGGAGCAAATTTTCATCAACCACGCCATCATTCTCTAAACGTTCGCCCTCGTAAGGGCTATACGGTGCAATAATCAGCGTCGTATGCGCAGGATTATGAACGACTTACATTGCAATATTCACCTGCGCTTCCTTGTACACCGTTGGCAAGATATTCTCGAACGTGCTACTCGTGGCGAAGGCATAGGTATGCGGCAGGAGATCGCTAGATCGTGGCCTGCCATAGAAATTCAGTTACCCAGAAAAAGTTTAGACATGGTACTTGCCCCCTCAATATGTGCAGGAATTTGCGGAATCCATCATACCAGGGCTGCAGGGCGTAATACTCTTCATCCAGTTTGCTGAACCAACTTAACAGACCAGTAAGAACAGCAGTCGCAAGGAGGTCAACCCCGTCATAATCGAATGGTGGGTCGGATTCGTCAATATCAATAGGTCCCAGTGTAAGGATGTCGGCCCCGATGTCCTTCAGGATGCGAACCATCTCAGAACACAACTTGTTAGCAACATCAGAATGCACATTCCTCATGTCCAACCAAAATCCAGGCAAATCGAGAATGCCGTTGAGATATCGAATGGAGAGTGCACCGCAGATGCTCAAAATTCCACTTCCATTTTCGAGTCAGCGTTAAACCAACGGAGAAATCTGCCACTCACGCCGAATCGTGTTCAACTAAGAGCCGTTCGATCACACTGAGACCTCCTTCGTCACAGCTGGTCAGCTGTAGAATACTGCTATCCTCCAATAAGGTTGAAATTGGCGTATTCGACAAGCAAGTGGCGGCCAAGCTTTGCCAAAATTTCCATTCTTCGTCGGGGGACCACCAGGACGGTCCCAAAGTGGGGAAATTGTATCTGTCGACGTTGCGCCTTCCATACACTTGGCATGGAGAAAATGCACCCGGAGACCAGGAAAGAGAGTGACGAGATCCACAATATCTTTGAAGGCCTGAAACTGTGTTTTGGCAGACTCCGTGCTGCGGGTATAGGTATTTAGTCAGATCTCGAACGCCAAATGGAACACACGCACGGCAGTGTAAATTCCATCAACCTCCAACAAATTTTCTCAAGTTTGTCAGGGATTGAACTGCGTAAGAGGTCCAAATGCTGAACCCTTTCTTCGCCCTTTCCAAAATGGGATTTAATTTTCTGGGCCATGACGTGAGGGCCTAGACCCAAGTCGTGTGCAGCACGATTGGCATGCGTCTCGAGGACCTTGCCCAAAGAAGTGTAAAACTGATCCAAAGTCCGGCCTGGAGAAAGATTGAATGACGAGCCCAAGAGAAGATCCCAATTTCTGTGGGGTTCCGAAACCGGTAAATCTTGCGGCTCTATAACTGCCCTGTCCGTATAAAGAATGAGAGCATTGGAGACATTATTCGACGCCATTTCAAAGAGACGGTAAAGATGGATCTGTGCGGGGGAAGATGAGAGTAATGGTGTCGGTGCGAGCAAATACTGCTGTACGCATGAGGCAACACATTACCATGCGGCAGCCTGAGCTAAGATTAGCCTATATCGATACTCGACATTCTTGAAAAAATGTCGGCGTGCAGTCTACGTTGTCATTGAACGATCGAAGGTAGTTCATGGAACAGCTCTGCCATGAGCAGCTGAACCCATTTCTTTTCAAGTATATACTACTGGTAGTACATGGCATCCAATCGAGTCCAGCAGGATGATTTACGCGTCAACACGACAGGGAGCCCAGCTTTGAGACCCGCGCAGCAAGGCATGTCTAAGGCGTGTTGTGAAGGGTAGTGAAAGCGCAAGTGCACAATGCTGCTGCTGCATTGTCATTGCTGCATACCATCAAGTCACCAGACTTTCTGCCAAAAAATTGATCGCACTTGATTTCACTTGATCCGCTTGAATTGGCAAGACCCCAAGTGACAAGTGAAAAAGCCAGGTCCCATTTCCACAGGTGAAAAGACCTTTTCCTACGGTGCAGACCTCTACTTTAACAAGCTAAAAAAAATTGGATTCAGGAGGAAAAGTGTATTCAAGACGATTCATTTCACACACTTTGCGTACATGCACCAACCAACTGTAGCACTGAACATCGATATCAAATTTCAACCTCAAGCTTCATGATTGCCAAAAAAAAACAGGTAAACTGCAATGAATCACTCCACAGTAGGCCCAAAAACATAGAGAACCGGAGCTCGACGGGACCCGAAACCAACTGGCCGCCAGTGAAGCATAGTTCAGAAAACAAAACCCAAAAAAAAGGAAAAACAAGAGTTCATGGTATGATCTGACCCGGAATACCGAGGCCTCAAGTTCTGCTTCACAGATTCGCTCACATACTATCAGCAGACGCACTAACCAACTGTGCCACCAGATCATTTATTTTTCCAACCCAAGCTATGATCGCGAGTCGTTGAGTCGGCAATACAGTCAAACCTTGAAAAACAGCTGCAGCTGACAAATGACCGGACCCACTAGCACAATCGAATCAGGGAATTTTGGTTGAAATTCTATATGGACCTTACTTTGCGTGGATGCACTAACCAACTGTACCACTGAATCTGCGAAACTGAACATCAAATTTCAACTTCAAGTTTCATGAATGCCAAAAATTAAGTTAAATTAAATTAAACTGGAATGAATCCGTCTAAGTGGGCCTTTCGATCTATCATTCCCACCAGATTTTGCCCATGTTCGCGTCAGGCAGGGTTGGTTGAGCTGTATATTTTCAATTTTGGAACACTTCCGAAGTCGGGCCAACTGAATATTCCAACACTTCAGATCAACTGGTTCATTTCGATCGTCGGCAGGATCGGCTTCAACCGGGTGATTTTTACAGCTGAGAGGTGGGGAGGCGAGCATTCAAATTCCGGAGCTAATCCGAGGGTCGAGTGTTATTTACAGTATTTATTCGATGACTTTGATCTTGCCCGAGATCGCCGAGGGACGTTGATAATTGGACTACACTGCTGGAAGTGGACTGATGTTCTTGAACAGGGGTGGGCTGTTTAAATTCGGTTGCCGATTGCAAAGCTATGCTAGCGGTCCGACATGTTTGTGAACCATTGAAATGTGCATGATTACATAATTAATTCAACGTAAACTTGAATACGATCCCCAAATCACGGACAGTACAAGTAAAATAATAGCTTCAAAAATCGGTTCAAAGCTGTATCGAGAGGCATTGTGGCTCCGAGCCAAGGACGCTGACTATTACTATTCAACCAAAATCCAGATGCAAATCATGACCTGACCCGGAATCGAACCGAGGCCTTCCGCTGACACCTACGCATAAACACCCACATTACTGTGAGCAGATGCACTAACCAACTGTGCCATCAGGTCGCTTCTGACTTCGTTCAACTTCAATGCAGAGGACCTCCAATCAACCGGCATCCGCTGCGAAGTTGAAAATGAAGAACGGGAGCCTGAGGTTCCAGAAGCACTGCTGCAATAGTAAAACCAAAACAGCTACCAATCGAATCGGGGACTTTTGGTTGAAATTTTATACAGGGACCGTACTTGACATCTACTCAAACCACAATCTGCGAAGCTGAATATCAAATTAATATTTCAATGATTGGACAAATGAAAATGAAAGCTACAAAATCACCTCACAAGAATCCGAGTCAAGTAGGCGCAAAAATATAGAGAATCGGAGCCCGAGACTCGAAATTAATTGGCTGATGCAAAGTTCAAAAAACGAAACGGAAAAAAAAAAAAAAACCTCGCCAATATGTTTATGACCTGACCCGGAGTCGAACCGGAGTCTTCTGCTAAGAATATTTCATGGACCCCACTGTGAGCAGACACACTAACCAACTGTGCCATCAGGTCCTTTGCAACTCTGTTCAACCTCAATGTCCCGACCTCCAATCAAACCAGAGTCTGCTGCGAAAATAAGAAGGTTGAAAATGAAGAACGGCAGCCTGAGGTTCCAGACTCTCGGGATGAGGCCTGAGGACTGCAGTAGCAAAACCAAAACAGCCACCAATCGAATCGGAGACTTTTTAGTTGAAATTTTATACAGGGACCGTACTTTGAGTAGATGTCAACCAGAATCTGCGAAGCTGAACATTAAATTAAATATTTCAGTATTATGATTGCCGAAAATAAACAGTAAACTGGAATAAGTCATTTCAGTAGACCCAAAAAATATAGAGAATCGGAGCCCGAGACTCGAAATTAACTGGCTGATGCAAAGTTCAGAAAACGAAACGGAAAAAAAAGAAAAACTTTGCAACCAGGCTATGACCTGACCCGGATTCAAACCGGGGCCTTCTGCAGACCCCCTCAGACTTTGTATACTCTGAGCAGACGCACTAACCAACTGTGCCATCAGATCATCGCAACCTTGTTCGACTTCAACGTCCTGACCTCCAGTCAAACTATAATCCGCTGCGAAAATAATCAGGTTGAAAATGAAGAACGGGAGCTTCGAGGAGGAGGATGGCAATAGTAAAACCAAAACAACTACACTGCAGACCTACAATGGAATGTTGAAATTTACATGGACCGCACTTTGAGTAGATGCACTAACCAACTGTAGCTGAACATCAAATCAATATTTGAGCATTATGACTGCCCCCCCAAAAGAAGGTAAACTGCAATGAATCGGTTACAGGAATCCAGTAGGTCCCAGAGAAGTCGAACAAAAGCTCAGGACTTGAAACCAACTGGGTGGTGCAAAGAAATGGGAAAAAAAAACCTATCGTATGACCTGACCCGGATTCGAACCAGGGCCTTCTGCTTACCGGTACCACAACTGCATCAAAACACTGTTCGCAGACGCACTAACCAACTGTCGTTCCCAACGTGGTTCAATATCAAAGACCTCCGAGTCCTGTTTTGACCAATTGCCCAAAAAAAGGTAAACTGGAATGAATCACTTCAGTAGGCTCAAAAAGACTCAAAACCAATTGGCTGAAGCAAAATTTTGAAAACGAAACAAAAAAAACAGATGACCTGACCCAGAATCGAACGAGGGTCTTCTGCTTAATTATCACCAATGGGTTCATTCATTATCAACAGACGCACTAACCAACTGTGCTATCAGGTCGTTTATTTCGGTCTGAAATCGGTCAAGTTCGGGCGGTCCGCTCGCTTACAACTCGCTTATTAAAGCGGGCGGATGCGCAATCACGTGCCTCTGACTCTTTCCTCTTCATGGCGCCGAAAACGTCGTCAGCGTCGTCAGCGACGCGCAAGAAGCACGCCCGCAAAGCCCAGGCCGGCGTCGAGCCCTCCTCCTCACAAACACAGGAAAAATCGGAAAAGAAAGGGAAGAAACATCGCTCCGACCCACCGCGCCCCAAAGCCTATGTCGCACCCATAAAGCCTACGGCGTTGAACCCGGACCCTCTCGACGCCGTCCCGGGCCTCGCCGCGCGCCTCCTGCCGCCCCTGCTCGTCGTCCTCCGGTCCCTAGGCAAGAAAGCGCCTGTGACGAAGATTCGCGCATTGGAGGAACTGCATGCGGGCTGGGTAGCGCATATCGACGCCGAGGACAGGATAGCGCTGTACGCCCTGCGGGAGATGGTCCCTGTCTGGCTACACCATCTCCTCGCCCACGTGTACCCCGCGCGCCGCGTGCGCCTCCTGACCGCGCTCCTTGCGGCGGCGCTCCTGCGCCCCGGGCTGACGGCGGACGCGCCGGATGTGGTGGGGAGTGTGTGGGCACTAGCGGCGCACGATGCGGAGCGCGCGGTGGCCGCGGTCTCTTCCGCCCCGGCTGCGCGGGTACAGGCCGAGGACAAGGGCCCGCTGGCGTTTTTGGAGAGGGTGCTGCTGCTGTCGGACGGGGTGTATAATGAGCTGAACCCGCTGGCACCGGTGTTGCTGGCGCTTGCGTTCGACCCGCATGTGTGGCGCCCCGGCGCCACCACCTAGAGCTAAGGGCGACGAGCAGGACAAGAGCGCGGTTGAAACAATACTTGGCACAGCGGCTAGACAAATCACTAACAATGCAACCGTCTGCTGCCTTTCCGCAAAATATGCGGGTCTTATGATTTATCAGTCCTACCAGATTTTTTTCGTGTCCGCACGAGGCCAGGTTGATTGAACTGTATACAGGCCAACTTTATATTCCGAAGACCTCAGATCAACCGGTTGATATCGACAATCGGCGGGATCGGCTTCAAGCCGCTTCGTGTATATCCTCCCTTCAACTGGGTGGTCTGTACCATGTAGGGATGCAAGCTTCCTGAGCTACTGAGTGCTATATAACAGTATTATTCGATGACTTTGAACATGCCCGAGATCGCCGAGGGATATTGAACCACATTAATAATGTAAGTGCGGGAAGGAGTACTGGTGTTCTTGCTCAAGGGTGGGCGACTGGGACTGTTTCTGTTGTCAATTGCAAAACTATGCTAGCGGTCCGATATGTTTGTGAGCTACTGAAATGCGTAATTGAATGTGATCAGTTCAAGTTGAACTTGAATTCGAACATCCGCGAATCGAATGGACAGCAATAGTAAACAGTAGCTCTGTATTTGGTTCATCGAGAGGCATTGCGACTGGGGATGAAGCGGTATTAAAATGAAATTAGACATGCAAGAAAACAAAGTCTGTAAACTTTCACCAGACACTAACCAAAGTGCCATCAGATCATTTCCAGCACTCTTCCGGACAAGGTTAGAAACTCGGCGGTTCAAGCGTTATGTGGCCTTAGAAAGAAAGGAAATAATGGAATATGTCATTAATTACTCGAATCGCAGAAGGTCGCATAGTTCGGCGTCGGCGGGCGATGAATAAAGAGGGGTCACAGACGCAAGCAATAAAAGTCTAGCCTTAGATGAGCGACGGCTTCCGCATACGCGAAATTAGGGCGTGCGCCGAAGCCATGACCGCATATTCTCCTTTGTCAAACAACAGAACACCCTCCTGTCGGTAGACCATATCCCTCACAAATTTAGCAACAGAATCCTGCAATATAATCTCGAGCTCGTTGGTCGCCAGAAGGTGTAAATACGTTGGGCATCAAGCTGTCTAATTCTACCTATCTATCGGCACCTTCCTCGGTGCGTCATAGCTGGCCGGATAGAAATCCTGGAGCTTCCTGATCTGTTCGGATTGGGGTATTCAACCACCGTATTTGGATCATGATGAAATGTGTGCGGACCTGTGATGAATAGGCGCGGCAGGGCCCACCGAGGCAGACCAATTGTTGACGAATCTGCGCCACTATCTCATGGATATCGCCCTTCGATATCGCCTGCGCCTTGATGTCCTCTAGATCGCAGATCATTTTTTGCCACCACGTTGCGAAATTGTTAACGGATTTAATAACGAGCGCTATTTTCGCTTCCATATCCTCCAGCTCGAGAAGTGCCTGATAGTTAACGGTGTGCTTCTTACGATCTGTAACCAATTAGCGGTGCTTGAAGTGTTATGCCAGATACCGCTTACTCTGGGCAGCAGCGGGAATGACAACCGGAAGGTTAATGCGAACGCGAGGCAGAACACTTATTAAGTGAGAGGCTTCAAATACCGCGAACATAGTCTTCGTGTCACCGTCGGATCTGTGCTCGAAATTCCAAGCCGGTCGTCTCTCCTGTGCCCCCGCGGCTCGCTGCGCAGCCTGCGAATCTCGCTCGAGATGTCGAGGAATACACTCCGACGCCTAAGTCTGGAATGAGTCCTAGGCGATGCTACCCACTCAATCACAGTACGTACCTTTGTTAGTTGTCCCCGGACATCACTAAATCGAGCCCATGTTTTCTTGACTTCCTTCTGCGCTCGTGAAACATCGGTCTCCATGCGCTTAATGAACTTGAGGATCTCAGTAGTAGGCATCTTCGTTTCGAGGGCATGACAAAGGTCAATGGCGTGTTCTGAAAATACGATGCCTTGATCGCCACAGTTGATGCTCATGTCAATGGCGTCAAAATAGCGATGGGCTTGCTTCTTCAAACGGGCTATCATGTCGCGTATAATAGAGTGGGAACCCCGGGAGAATCTAGCAATGAGAGATCTCAGTACTCGAGTAGATACTATGAGAATAAACGAACTCCGCGAGGCACCATGGTTCGAGTAACACGAAGGCGTCCATAGCTGAGTCCACTAACTCTTGGACACCAGCGGCGACGAGATGGGATGCATCCGATTTTAGCGAGGCTATTATATCCATGTGAGCAGCCTGAGTGTATGTTGAATTCAAATGGAGCAAATGTTCATCGTCGGTGCCATCAGTCTCTAAAAGTTCGCCCTCGCGAGGGCTATGCGGTGCAATAATCAGCATCATACAACGCAGGATTATGAACGACTTACACTCTCACAGCTGAGTCCACGAGGTCTTGAACACCATCAGCGACGAGGTAGGATGCATCTGGCGAGGCCATTATATCCATGTGAGCCGCCTGAGTGTATGTTGAATTCAAATGGAGCAAATGTTCATCAACGACGCCATCATTCTCTAAAAGTTCGCCCTCGTGAGGGCTATACGGTGCAATAATCAGTGTTGTATGTGGAGGATTATGAATGACTTGCACTCTCACTGCAATAATCACCTGCGCTTCCTGGTACACCGTTGGCAGGATATTCTCGAACGTGCTACTCGTAGCGAAGGCATAGGCATGCGGCAGGAGATCGCCAGATCGTGGCCTGCCATAGAAATTCAGTTCTTACAGACACATGTTTAGACAAGGTACTTGCCCCCTCAATATGTGCAGGAGTTTGCGAAATCCATCATACCAGGGCTGCAGGGCATAATGCTCTTCATCCAGTTTTCCGAACCAATTTAACAGACCAGTAAGGACAGCAGTCGCAAGGAGGTTAACCCCATCATAATCGAATGGTGGGTCGGATTCGTCAATATCAATAGGTCCCAGTGTGAGGATGTCGGCCCCGATGTCCTTCAGGATGTGAACCATCTCAGAACACAACTTGTTAGCAGCATGAGAATGCACATTCCCCATGTTCAACCAAAATCCAGGCAAATCCAGAATACCGTTGAGATATCGAATGGAGAGTGCACCGCAGATGCTCAAAGTTCCACTTCGATTTTGGAGTCAGCGCTAAACTAACAGAGAAATCTACCACTCACGCCGAATCGTGTTCCACTAAGAGCCGTTCGATCACACTGAGACCTCCTTCGTCACAGCTGGTCAGCTGTAGAATATTGCTATCCTCCAATATGGTTGAAATTGTCGTATTCGACAGGCAAGTGGCGGCCAAGCTTTGCCAAAATTTCCATTCTTCGTCGGGGGGACCACCAGGACGGTCCCAAAGTGCGGAAATGGTATCCGCCAACGTTGTGCCTTCCATACACTTGGCATGGAGAAAATGCACCCGGAGACCAGGAAACAGAGTGACGAGATCCACAATATCTTTGAAGGCCTGAAACTGTGTTTTGGCAGACTCCGTGCTGCGGGTATAGGTACTTATTTAGTCAGATCTCGAACGACAAATGGAACATACGCACGGCAATGTAAATTGCATCAACCTCCAGCAATTTTTCTCGAGTTTGTCGGCGATTGAACTGCGTAAGAGTTCCAGATGCTGAACCCTTTCTTCGCCCTTTCCGAAATGGGATTTAATTTTTCGACCACGACGTGAGGGCCTAGACCAAGACGTGTGCAGCACGATTGGCATGCGTCTCAAGCACGTTGCCCGAAGAACTGTAAAACTGATCCAAAGTTCGGCCTGGAGAAAGACTCAAGAGATCTAGAAAAGCCCAATTTCCGTGGGGTTCCGAAACCTGTGAATCTTGCGGCTCTATAACTGCCCTGTCCGGCGGATAAAGAATGACAGCATTGGAGACATATTCGACGCCATTCCCAAAGAGCGGGCAAAGTTGGATATGTGGGGGGGAAGATGAGAGTAATGGTGCCGGTGCGAGCGCCAAATACTGCTGTATGCATGAGGCAACGTATTGGTGACCACGCGGCAGCTAAGATTAGCCCATATCGATAATCAGCATTCTTGAAATACTAGTCGGCGTGCATTGCTCAGAGTCTACGTCGTCATTGAACGATCGAAGGCAGTTCATGAGCAGCTGAACCATTTCTTGTCGAGTAGTATAGACTACACACATGGCATCCAATCGAGACCGGCAGAATGATTTGCGCGCCAACACGACAGGGAGCCCAACCGCCAGGCTTCGACCCACGCAGCAAGGCATTTCTCAGGCGTGTTGTGAAAGGCAGTGAAGCGTAAGTGCACCATGAAGTCAACGCATACCATGAAGTCATCAGACTTCCTGCCAAAAAATTGATCGCACTTGATTTCACTTGATCCGGCTTGAATTGGCCGATAAAGACCAAGTGAAAAAGCCAGCAAGTGGTAAAAAACCTTTTCCTACGGTGCAGACTCAGTTTTATCTAGTTTGACAAGCTAAAAATTTTTGAATTCAGGAAGAAAAGTGCATTCAAGACGATTTATTTTACACACTTTGAGTACATGCACCAACCAACTGTAGCACTGAACATCGATATCAATTTCAACCTCAGGCTTCATGATTGCCAAAAAAACAGGTAAACTGCAATGAATCACTCCACAGTAGGCCCAAAAATATAGAGAACCGGAGCTCGACGGGACCCGAAACCAACTGGCTGAAGTATAGTTCGGAAAACAAAAACCAAAAGAAAAAGAAAAAGACTCGGAGTCCATGGTACTTATGATCTGACCCAGAATCGAACCGAGGCCTTCTGCTTCACAGATTCGCACGCATACTATCAGCAGACGCACTAAGTTCTAACCAACTGTGCCACCAGATCATTTACTTTTCCAACCCAAGCTATGATCGCGAGTCGTTGAGTCGGCAATACAGTCAAATCTTGAAAAACAGCTGCAGCTGACGAATGACCGCTAGCACAATCGAATCGGGGACTTTTGGTTGAAATTCTACATGGATCTTACTTTGAGTACAATAGATGCATTAGCCAACTGTACCACTGAATCTCCGAAACTGAACATTAAATTTCAACTTCAAGTTTCATGATTGCCAAAATTAAGTTAAACTGAAATGAATCCGTCTGCTGCCTTTCTGCGGCCTTCCAATTCATTGTTCCCATCCCGTGTCCGTGGCAGGCTGGGCTAATTGAACTGTATATTTTCAATTTTGGAATACTTCAGGCCAGCTGTATATTCCGAACACTTCGCCAACTGGTTCATTTCGACAGTCGGCAGGATCGGCTTCAACCGGGTGATTTTTACAGCTGAGAGGTGGGGAAGCAAGCGTTCAAATTCCGGAGCTAATCCGAGGGTCGAGTGTTATTTACAGTATTTATTTGATGACTTTGAACATGCCCGAGATCGCCGAGGGGTATTGATAATTGGACTACACTGGTGGTGTTCTTGACCAGGCAGGGGTGGGCTGTTTAAATTCGGTTGAGAACTGAAAAAAAATATGCTAGCGGTCTGACATGTTTGTGAACCATTGAAATGTGCAATCGGATGTGATCAGTTCAAGTCAAACTTGAATTGAGGATCCGTGAATTGAAGGGACAGTACTTGATAGTAAAACAGTAGCCAGCTTCGAAAATAGGTTCAAGGCTATATCGAGAGGCATTGTTACTCCGAGTCTGGGGACGCGTTATTTAAACAAAAAAAGGAACTCGAGATAGACGCATGACCTGACTCGGATTCGAACCGGGGCCTTCTGCAGACCGACTGAGACCTAAATACTTTGAGCAGACGCACCAACCAACTGCGCCACCAGGCCTCTCGCAACTTCGCTCAACTTCAACGTCCTGACCTCCAGTCAAACCAGAATCCGCTGCGAAAATAATCAGGTTGAAAATGAAGAATGGGAACCTGAGGTTCCAGACTCTCGGGATGAGGCCTGAGGACTGCAATAGCAAAACCAAAACAGCTACCAATCGAATCGGGGACTTTTTGGTTGAAATTTTATACAGGGACCGTACTTGACATCTACTCAAACCACAATCTGCGAAGCTGAATATCAAATTAATATTTCAACGATTGGACAAAAGAAAATGAAAGCTACAAAATCACCTCACAGGAATCCAGTAGGCCCAAAAAATATAGAGAATCGGAGCTCGAGACTCGAAATTAACTGGCTGATGCAAAATTCAGAAAACGAAATGGGAAAAAAAGAAAAACTTTGCTACCATGTTATGACCTGACCCGGATTCGAACCGGGACCTTCCGCTGACATCTACGTATACACACCCACATTACTGTGAGCAGACACACTAACCAACTGTGCCATCAGGTCGCTTCTGACTTAGCATGACTGCATTAAATTAATATTTCAATGATTGGACAAAAGAAAATGAAAGCTACAAAATCACCTCACAGGAATCCGAGTCAAGTAGGCGCAAAAAATAGAGAATCGGAGCCCGAAACTCGAAATTAACTGGCTGATGCAAAGTTCAGAAAACGAAACGGAAAAAAAAAGAAAAACTTCGCAACAATGTTACGACCTGACCCGGAATCGAACCGAGGCCTTCTGCGGAGATCAAGGAACTTAAAAACCTTGAGCAGACGCACTAACCAATTGTGCCATCAGGTCATTCCTGACTTTGTTCGACTTCAACGTCCTGACCTCCAGTCAAACCAGAATCCGCTGCGAAAATAATCAGGTTGAAAATGAAGAATGGGAGCTTCGAGGACGAGGACGGCGATAGTAAAATCAAAACAGCTACACTGCAGACCTACATGTACAATGGAATGTTGAAATTTTACATGGACCGCACTTTGAGCAGATGCACTAACCACTAACCAACTGTAGCACTGGATCTGCGAAACTGAACGTCAAAGTAATATTTGAGCATTATGATTGCCCCCCATCCAAAAAGGTAAACTGCAATGAATCGGTTCACAGGAATCCAGTAGGTCCCAGAGAAGTCGAAGAAAAGCTCGGGACTCGAAACTAACTGGGTGATGCAAAGAAATGGGGAAAAAAAAAACCAACGAGTCCCTCTTATGACCTGACCCGGATTCGAACCAGGGCCTTCTGCTTACCATAACTTCATAAAACCGTACTGTTCGCAGACGCACTAACCAACTGTGCTATCAGGTCGTTCCCAATGTGGTTCAATATCAAAGACCTCCGAGTCCAGTTTTTGTCCAATTGCCCAAAAAAAAAGGTAAACTGGAATGAATCACTTCAGTAGGCTCAAAAAGACTCAAAAACAATTGGCTGAAGCAAAAATTTTGAAAACGAAACAAAAAAAACCGATGACCTGACCCAGAATCGAACGAGGGTCTTCTGCTTAATTATCACCAATGGGTTCATTCATTATCAACAGACGCACTAACCAACTGTGCTATCAGGTCATTTGTTTCAGTCTGAAATCGGTCAAGTTCGGGCGGTCCGCTCGCTTACAACTCGCTTATTAAAAGCGGGCGGATGCGCAATCACGTGCATCTGACTCTTTCCTCTTCATGGCGCCGAAAACGTCGTCAGCGTCGTCTGGGACGCGCAAGAAGCACGCCCGCAAAGCTCAGGCTGGCGTCGAGCCCTCCTCCTCACAAACACAGGAAAAACCAGAAAAGAAAGGGAAGAAACACCGCTCCGACCCACCGCGCCCCAAAGCCTATGTCGCCCCCGTAAAGCCCACCGCCTTGAACCCGGACCCATTGGACGCCGTCCCGGGCCTCGCCGCGCGCCTCCCGCCGCCCCTGCTCGTCGTCCTCCGGTCCCTAGGCAAGAAAGCGCCAGTGACCAAGATTCGCGCTCTGGAAGAGCTGCATGCGGGCTGGGTAGCGCATATCGACGCCGAGGATGGGATAGCGCTGTATGCATTACGGGAGATGCTGCCCGTGTGGCTGCACCATCTCCCCGCGCACCTCGTGCACCCCGCGCGTCGCGTGCGCCTCCTCACCGCGCAGACGCACGCCGCGCTCCTCGCGGCGCCGCTCCTGCGCCCCGGGCTGACGGAAGACGCGCCGGATGTGGTGGGCAGCGTGTGGGCACTGGCGGCGCACGATGCGGAGCGCGCGGTGGCAGCGATCGCTTCCGCCCCGGCTGCACGGGTACAGCCCGAGGACAAGGGCCCGCTGGTGGTGTTTTTGGAGAGGGTGCTACTGCAGCCGGATGGGGTGTATAATGAGCTGAATCCACCGGCGCCGGCACATGCACCGGACCCGAAGGCGAAGCAGCATCGTCCGACGGGCATGGCGCCGACGCCGGCACCACCGCCTAGAACTAAGGGCGACGAGCAAGACGAGAGCGCGGTGGATCGGAGGGCGAGGTTGAGGATCGCGGCGTTTGGGGCTCTGCGGTATCTGTTGGGTATGTCTCCCTCCTTGCTCTCCCTTCTTCTCCCCCTTTCCTCCTTTTCCCCCTTTATCCTCGTTCTAATCGTATTGTATCGAACAGAAACAACCCCAACCCCCCTCCCCCCCTTCCTCGCCTCGCCCGCTCTCTGGTCTGCCCTCCAACACGACCCCTCGGACCCCGAATTTTACACACGAATAGAGACCCAGCTCGCCACACTCCCCGGCGCTGACGACGACGAGGACGAATACACGCGGTATCTGGCTGCGGAGGTCGCGCATCCCCCGCTCGCCTCTTCTGCGTCGTTAGCTGCTAGATCTGCGGATAAGGATAAAGAGGAGGAGGACGGCCCTAGCGAAGACACCCTCCCCCTGGGCCACGCCCAGCCCGCGCTACGAAGGGCCGCGTGGGGGGTGTTGGGGGCTGTTCTTGGGCGTGTTTCGTCTTCCTCTCCTTCTTCCTCCTCGTCTTCTGCTCCGCCTATGGACGCTATCAACGCGTCGTCTCGCGAACATAGCGAAAAGAAGGAAAAGGAGAAGAAACCAAACGCGCTCCCCCCCGCCCTCCCCCTAACCCTCGCGCACACCGCGCTGCCCGCCGTGTGGGCCGAGCGCGACGCTGGGGTGCAAAGGGTGATGTGGGGGCGGGGTTGGGTGTTTTGAGAGGTGCGTTTTATTTTTATTTTTATGTGCTATGACAGCGGGACTTTATTTGGGGGAGGGGAGCGCGTTTTTCAGGGGACACGGCCCGAGAGCGTTTTGAGGCGTTAGGGCCTTTGGCCTTTGGACGTTTGGGCGCAAGGGTTTTGTGCCGGTGCCTTTCGTGGCGTAGGTGTGCAGTGTGCGAGTTTCCGCCCTCGTGTCGTTGACCGCGCTCATTTGTGGTGGCGCAGTGCGTCTCGGACGACTTAACCCATCGTTCAGTGGTGTCTCGGACCGCCCGCGCGCATTTCGGTTCCTTCCTCTCCCTCACATTCTCTTTTTGTTCTTCTTTCTTTCTTCTAGTAAAAGAAAAGAAAAATGAAACTGATGCTGATACGATTTTACATTGACAGGGAACCCCCAAACGTGGACGCTCGCCCCGCCTGCTGGGTCCTTTGAGGCTTTCTGTGCGTGTTTTCTTTTTGGTCTTGCCTTTCATTGCTGTTTGCCTGCCCTTCACTCCGTCTTCTTTTTTCTTCCCTCTTCCCTTCCCTTCTTGTTTCCCCCTTTTCTCCCCACTTCCCTCGTTCCCCCCCCAGTCTTTTCCTCCCATCCCATGCTCTCCTCCCTCTCACCCTCACTTCCATCCTATGCCGCCCCCGCCCCCCGAAAACCAAACACCGATCCTAACCGCACTTCACAGTATCGCACTTCCTCGCGCGCGCATGCAACTCCTCCAGCAGCAACGTCCAGGCGGCGGAGACGGGGTACGCCGCGGTGGTCGTGGTGGTGGGGAGTGTCGGGTGGGAGGTGCGTTTTGTTTGTTTCTTTTCCGTCACAATTGGATTTCGTTTTTTTTTGGGGAGGTGGATTTCGTTCGTGCGCCGTATTTTGGTTGGGAGCTTGTTGGAGGAAAGAACGAATGGGGGAGGTTTGGGGAGGAAAGGAGGGTGGTGTGGATTGTGGATTCGGATATGTAACGGCGGGGTTCGGCGAGTGGGGTTGTAGCCGTCCCTCCGCCTTACTACAGAGAATGGGGACTGCGGTGGCTTGGAGCCATTCGGCGGCCCTCATCCCTGCTACTTTCCCCGTCGTTTCCCGTTCCGTTCCGCTTCACCTCCCTTTGCTCTGCGCCCCGCATCTTTCCCGTCGCCGCTCGTTTCCGTGTTTCTTTTCTTCTTTCGTTTTTCTCGCTGTCTTTCTTCCCGCCTTCCTCTTCTCTCCAATATACATCCGACGAATACGAACACTGACACGCAGCGCAGATCCTAACCCCCCTCGACCGCCTCTTCGACGCCTTCTGGGCCGCGCTCGGGGGCGCGCCAAGGGTGCCTGGCTTCGCATCTTCGTCGTCCTCGCAATCTCAATCTCAACTCACCCCCGCTTCGCCCGACCTCACATCCACATCCGCCTCAGCCTCCGCCTTCGCTCTCGCACAAACCGACCCACCCTCCGCCTCTCCTACCTCTCCTACCACTGCCGCCGACAACGACGCCGACGCCGACGCCGAACCCAACGATGCCACCCGGGCTCGGGTACCCGGAATGAAATCCGTCGCTGCCTCCGCGCCTGCTCTCACCACCGCCCTCCCCGGTGCGCGCGCGCGCGCGGGTGCGGCGTTCCTCGGCGCGCTGCTGGAGTGTGCGGTGTTTGTTGTAAGGCGGGGGAGAGTTGAGCGGGGGAGGGGTCGAGTTCTGCTGCTTCTATTTCTGCGTCTTCGAGTATTGAAGTGGACGAGGCTATTCCTGCTTCTTCGAGTATTGAAGTGGACGAGGGTGGAGTAGAAGGCGGAGGACGAGAAGGTGAAGGACAAGGAGACGACACGCGCCTCTTCGCGCGCGAGATTGCGAGGGTGTGGGTTGCGCTTGGGGGATCTCTTGTCAACGCGGACTCGCAGGGCAACGAGACGGAGAACGAAGGCAAGAAGCCGGCGGAGGAGACAAAGCCGCAACCGCGGCTACATGTCGACGCGCGACGCGCGGCGGGGATTGTGCGGGGCGCGTTGAGAGCGGCGGGGGTGTTGGGGTGGTGAGTTTTTTTTAGACTGTTATTTCTTCTTTCTCGTTTTGCTTGTCTTTCGTGTACGACGGCTGGTCCTGCCTCCCGCGATTGCGTAGTGCCGTATGCCTCCATGGCGCACTTCACCCCTTCGCGCTCTGTTTTCATGTAATTTTATAACGACGACTAACCCTTCTATATTTCTTTCCTAGACCTGCTCACCGCTGGTCTCACCACGCTCGGCGCGTGCCTACGCGCGGGTGGGCCGCCCGCGCTTATGTGTGCCATGCTCGAGGCGCTCGTTGGCGACAGCGCCGCGCCATCCACCCCCTCCGCCGCCATATCGAACGACGACGAAGCTGCCTCTGACCCGACGACACAACAAGTAGAAATCCAACCAGACCTGAACGCGAAGAAACTCGCGATCGCCGCGCGCATCCGCACCTTCGGGCTCGCCTTGCGGACGGACGTCCTCCGTGCGGCGGTGGAGAGGGAAGACGCGCCGTTGCTTGTGAAGGCGTTGGGGATGTTTGGGGGCGGGGCGGGAGTGTGGGGTGGGGAAGGAGGCGTTGGGGAGGTGCGTTCTTCCGTTTTATCACGAATCGAGCTGTTTCTACTTTCCTACGACTTTTTACATTACTCGATCACCCCATTTATGTTAATCACAGAACGAACGCTGACCCTCCTTTCACAGGCCCTCGACACCCTCCTCTCCAACCGCGCCTACACGCTCCTGCTTACCGCCCCTTCGCTCCTCCTCGCGTACCTCGCGCACCGCACGACACATCGCCAAACACTGTGGCGCGCGCTGCTCGCGGAGCTGGCGAAGCACCCTGAGGCCGCGGCCGATGCGCTGGGGATCTTGGTGGGTGGCGAGGCGAGGGAGGCGGTGGAGGGGCTGACGGCGGTCGACGCGGGGGGCGAATTGGCCATTGCAAGTCCGAGTGCAGATTCGGCCGGTATAAGTACACCGAGCAGTCCCGAAGGTCCCCTCGACGCGCTCTTCGCCGCCATTTCGCCCCTGCCCGTGCCCGTCCCAACCCCTCTTCTCGCACAGGTTCTCCAGCGCGGCGAGCTCTTCTTGAGCCCCATCGCGTGGCACGGCGCCCTTGCACGCGTCGTCAGTGCGTTTGCGGCCCGCGTCGAGGCGGCACTCGTCTCTCCCGCCCCCGCCTCTGCCGCCACCCCTCTGTCGTTCTCGACTTTCGACGCGGATCTGCAGTTGCTCGCGAGCGTCCTTGCGGGTCGCCCCGAAGCCGCGGCCGCGGATGCGCGCGCGTTGTTGCCCGCGCTGTGGGTGTTTGCGTATGTACTCCCGCTCACGGTCCCACCGGAAGAACGCGAGGCAGACGCGGTGGGCGTGGCGAGGAACATCTGGCTGCAGTGGCGCGAAGAGGGCGAGGAGGGGGCGCGCGCGG